ATTGCAACCCCTGCTTGTTTCTTAGTGCCATTTGCTTGGAATATTCTTTTCCATCCTTTTACCTTAAGGTAGTGCCTGTCCTTGAGGTGAGATGGGTTTCTTGTAGACAGCAAAGAGATGGATTTTGTTTCTTAATCCATTCAGCTAGCCTGTGTCTTTTGACTGGGGAGTTCAGGTCCTTTGATATTTAAGGTTATTATTGAAAGATGTGTATTGGTTGCCATCGTTTTGGTTGCTATTTGTGTTCTCTGTCTAATTTTGTGTTTCTTTGATTATACCTTTATTTATTTTCTTTTGTTGCCCCTGGGGTATAGTTATTTCTCTCTGCTCTCTGTATTACTTCAAGTATTCTTTAAAGGGTTGATTTTGTGGACATGTATTCTTTCAGGCTTTTCATATCATGGAAGATTTTTATTTCCCCCTCAACTATAATAGACAATTTTGCTGGGTAAAGTATTCTGGGCTGACAGCTATTGTCATGTAGAACTGGAAATACCTGGTCCAGGCTCTTCTGGCTTTCATAGTTTGCACTGATAAGTCAGCTGTAATTCTGATGAGCTTTCCTTTGTATGTGACTTGTTGTTTTTCTTTTGCTGCTTTCAGTGTTCTCTCTTTTTTCTATACATTTAGTGTTTTCACTATGATATGTCATGGGAAGTTTCTTTTCTGATCCTGTCTATTTGGTGTTCTATGTGCTTCCTGTATTTGTATGGGGATGTCTTTCCTTAATTTTGGGAAATTCTCTTCTGCAATCCTGTTTAAGATCTGGTCAACACCATTAACCTGAAATTCTTCTCCTTCCTCTATTCCTGTGATATATAGACTTGGTCATTTCATGGTCTCTCATATCTCTTGCATATTCCATTCCTGTATTTTTTAAATTTTCCATAATCTTTGCTTGAGTGGTCCAGTTCTTGAACTTTATCTTCCAGTGTTGATATTCTGTTTTCCATTTCATTCATTCTAGCGGTGAGGTTCTCCCCTGTTGTTTCAAGTTGGCTCATTGAGTTTTGCACTTCCCTCTTCATTTCTGCCTGAGTTTTCTTCAGTGTTTCTCTTTTGTGGATTCATTCAGAAGTTTATCCCCATCTTCTTTTAGTTCTTTGATTCGTTTGTTTGTTCTTTAAATTTGTTGAATTCCTTGATCATGTTTATGATTGTTTTTTTAAATTCAGTGTCCTGGGTTATCTCTAGGGGGTTTTGCTTGTAGAACTCTTCTATGGAATTGGTGGAGTTTGGTGGGGATATAGTGTTTTGGCTTTCCATTTTATTATTCTTTCATTGTGATCTTGTCATGTAAATTTCTTTTGTTGTTTATGATTCTGATATGAGAATTAAGTTGAAGTATGCTTCTGTTTGGATTATCTGGGTGCCTAGATCCTTTCTTTATTGGTTATGTAAAGCTGGTTGGTACAGAGTTCAGATTCTCTCAGGTTTAATTTGGAGGGAACTGATGGCTTCAGATCAGCTATTTAGGAATACCCACAGAAGCCCAATTCAGATTCCAGTCAGGTACACTCGGGCTTCCTTCATCACGTGGAGGCAGGATCTGGGTGCTCTCAGGCAGTCCAACCTCTCAGGTTGTCTGCTGGGATCTCAGCTTTAGCCTACCAAAGCCAGATCTGCCCTGGGGCCTTGGGAGGGGCCTCACAAAATCCCAGGTAGGGGGATGGGTATGGCACAATTTGGGGATGCTCACCACCATGTGGAGGCAGAATCCAGGGGTTCTTAGGCAGTCCCCTGCATTCTCAGGCCCTCTGCCAGAGGGAGGCCAGAACTAGGCATTCTCTGGTGGTCTGCTGAGATCAGAGCCACTACACTGATGGAGCTATAGTCCTCTAAATATTCTTGAGCTTTGCTTTGGTACATAGCCAAGTTACTCTGGAACTGTGAACCTTCTGGGCCTTCCTTTTAAGGTTGCTCAGGTAAGACTAGATCCTGCTTAGTACTAGGGCTAATTATTTTATAATATTCCACAAAACGATCTGAGTACTCTTCTGATTCCAGGAATAGTAAAATTTTCAGTTTGAATCAGCAAAGAACTTGATATTTCTCCAAAGAAGATATAAAGATGGCCAAGAAACACCTAAAGACACTGAGCATCACTAGTCATGGGAACGCAAGTCAAAAACACAGCAGATATTACTTCATACTCACTAGGATTGCTAGTATAGAAGGAATTCAAAAGAATAAGTTCTGGAAAGGATGTGGAGAAGCTAGCTAGCTTGTGCATTTCTGGTGGAAATATGAAATAGTATAGCTACTATGGTAAACAGTTTCATAGTTCTTCAAAATGTTAAGCATAATGAACGTGAACCAACAATGCCACTTCTAGCTGTATAAACATCAGCATGCAAGTATCTATTTGCAGATACTTGGGTAACCAATATTTAAGTATTGTTCATAGTAGTCAAAAGATGGAAACAAGCAGCAATGGAGGATTATTAGACTTTAAAAGGTCAGGAAATTCTTTTTTATATTAATTTTAGTTTTTGACAATTTCAAACATATATAATATATTCTGATTACTCTCTCTACCCCACACCCTCTCTTAACTCCCCCCTATTCCTATTAAACCACCCACCCCCATCTCTACCAGTCCCTTTTAATTTTGTTTGTGACCTATTTAATTTAACCAGGGCCACTGTCACCATTGGATGGGAACTATCCATTGGATTCTTTGGGGTGAGGGGGTTAATCAGTGAGTACATAACAAGGCAGTGATTTTTGAATCTGTCAGTCCAAATAGTTCAGCAGAGAGGGGTAGGCCCCCCAGTACCTCCTCATCCATTCCTGCCTGTCAAGGGGCCCATTTATTTATTTATTTATTTATTTATTTATTTATTTATTTATTTATTTTTTGCAAACCCAAATACAGGCACCTACAGTTACTATGAGACAGTAATTGCAGTGGCTGTGCCTTGTCCCAAAGATGGCATTTTGCAGTCCTTCTTCCTGTCTTCCAGCTCTTACATTCTTTCTGCCCCCTCTTCCACAGTGTTCCCTATGCCTCAGAATGGATGGCATAAATGTCTTGTTTAGGCCTGTGCACTCACCTTTCATTTAGTGTTTGCACCTTGTGCAACCATGAGTCTGTGAACACCACCATTTACTGGAAAGAGAGGTTTCCCTGACTAAGGCTGAGAGTAGTGTTTGTCTTGGTATAAACATAGATATTTAGAAGGCAGCTTGGCACTCTGTCAGTTTAGCTATACAGTGGTTTTCAATTTCCTCCCAGGGCCTATGATCTCCCCTGTCATGAGTTTTTGACCAGGTTTACAGTACCATGCTCTCTAATGGAGTAATGGGTCTTAAATTCAATCATAGGAGTTAATTACCCCCATAACAGTAGTGCCACTATTGCACAAGAGGGCACACCATGCCTAACAGATTAGTTTCTTAGTATTCATAGGATTCACAGTTGGGTAAAATCACCAATACCTTTTTTATCCCAGCAGCTTGTATAGAACTTTCTAGAACTTTCTGTGAAAGCTACCAGCAAGGAAGCTTCCAGCTTTGTTCCAGCTCGACGTCTCTGTATTATGCATTCAAGGTGTGCGGTGAAGGACAGGAAATTCTAAATACATAATACAATGTGGATAAACCTTAAAGACGTTATGCTAAGTAAAATAAGCCAGATACAAAAAGGACAAATATTGCATGATTCTGCGTATATGATATGCCCAGAACAACCATATCCATAGAGAAAAAAAGGAGAACAGTGCTTGCTTGAGGAGTAAAAGGGTACAGAGTTTTTATTTAGGATGCTGAAAAGGTCCTAGAGATGGGTGGCAGTGATAGCTATATAACATTGTGAGCGTGCCTGATGCCACTGAACTGTATTCTTAAAATGATTAAAATGATGATCAAAATACACTGTACACATGTATGAAAACCTCAAAGAATATTAAAAATATTAAATGATACATTTTGTGATATATATTTTACCATGGAATATATATATTTGCTTAAACGCGTGCGTGTGTGTGTGTGTGTGTGTGTGTGTGTGTGTGTGTGTGTGTGTGTTTACATATTAGAACCAGTCCCTGGTTAAATAAATAACTCACATTGCAAACGGGGTAATCTAAGAGGTTTTGAGCAGACATTCACTCCTGCCAATCTTCCTGCCCAGGAGTGACACATGCAGCCATCTGGGCAGCATGCATCTCTTACCTCAGTGCGGCTGTTCCCCCAGAACTGAGGACATCTGCACAAGGCATCCTGCAAGGCCTTCACCTGGGTTTGGGGAGAGGATGTGGTGCCATGATCGGAGGTGTGCTAGTCAATTATTTTGGTAAGAATGACTTTCTCTTTCTTTTCTCCTTTAAGGAAAGTGGGGGTTTTTCCAGTCATATCTGAAGTATGACTGAACTTAAGTATTCCTAGGCTCCTTTTAGATTTCATGATAGTCATAATTATAATGCATGTGCTTAGGTTGTTAAGATGGTTAGAGCCAGCTTGTAACCTATTCCTCTGGCAAACAGCTCAACGAAATGATTCAGGAACTTCAGAGAAGACAATAAATAAATAAATAAATAAAACCCACAAATAAACGTGCTTTTAGTTGAGAGCAAGAACCTTTAAACCTGCTCCTAACAGTGCCAAAGAGAATTCATTATTGTTTTTCCACCAGGTGGCTTTGAACCAGAAAAATCTTAACTATTTTCTGGATTTGGTTGTACCAGAGCTGTGACAGTCAATCTGCCTCATTAGATCCCCTTTGCTGGAAAAGCAAAGGCTGAGGTAGAAATCAGACTATTCTGTCAGGAATGTTGATTGCTCAGTCATGTATGCAAGATGGGCTCTGTGACATGTGAACTTACAGCACTATTTAAACTGCTGTTCCAACTACAGAGGAACAGACTGTTTGCTAATAGGTAGGTAGATGGTCTTCATGAAGAGACCACCACTGAATATTGTATCTTGATGGAGGGTACTCAAAGATGGTCCTTTATTGAGAGAAGCAGTACCAATACCAGGGTCTCCTGACACTGCCCTGCATTTTTCCCACAATATGGAACTCACAAAAGGGTACTTTTCCCTGGTTCATTGAAAGGTGGGCTGTCTTGTCTCTGAACTTTAGAACAGTTTGGGATGAAGGCTGTCTATATTTCCTAGAATTACTCTATAGCCTGTTCTGCTTGTTTTCAAAGGGGCTGCTGCAACCTTCCGAGGGATTGGCATGGCCTGCCTGGTGATCCTCCTGCTCTTTGCCCTGATCCAGTGGCTGGCAGTGCCAGATGAGGAAGAAGGTGAACATTTCTTTTCTTGTCTTTGTTTTGGGGTGAAGTAGAGGGTTAGGAGTTTGAGACTGGGCTTCTCTTTGTAACCCAGACTGGCTTTGAGTTTGCAGTCCTCCTGCCTCAGTCTCCAAGTGCTGGGATTGCAGGTATGTGACACCAAGCCTGACTCCATTCTTCCTTGATGGTTGCATTGCCTCAAACCCATGAGAATGATACACATGACCCTCAGGAACCCAGAAGTACTAACTCTGGTGCTATGTGCTACATGTGCTCAGTGATGTATCAGTGAACTCACGTTAGAAATAGGACACCTACTGTGCTGAAAAGATCACCAGTTGATGAGGTTTTCTTGGCTTTGTTTTAATGTTGCAAGGTACTATGGAAGCATCGATTTTAAACTTCAGTGGGATTCTAAAGGGATTTCAGATTTAAGGCAAATACAAGACTGTATGGAAATTTTACTACTAGGGATAGGGAGTGCTCTGTCTTTACCTCCATCTTTAAAAAAAGAAAGTCTAAACTTCAAACTCCAAGCTTCTCCTGATAGGCATAGACTTTATTAAAACTATCAAATAAAAAGGGAGGGAGAGGCAGGTGACATGGCTCAGCAGGTAAAAGCACCTGTCACCAAGCCTGATGACCTGAGTTCGATCCTCAGGACCCACATGATGGAAGGAGAGAACTTACTCCCACAAGTTGTCCTCTAACCTCCACATGTGCATGGTGGCATGCATATGATCACAAACATACACATACACACAAAAAATAAATAATAAATTTAAGAGAGAAAGGCTATAGCAAATATAATGTGTAGGTGAGAACAAGTTACATAAAACTTCTAATGAAGAAGGTCAACCAACAGAGTACACATGCTCTTGCTCGCTCTTTGGTCCTAGTACAATGCTGGTCAGTTTTGAGTTTCCTATCGTTCCAGGGGCATTGGCCTTGGGGCCTGCAGTGCTTCTAGTAAAAGAAAAACTTGATTGTCATAGAACCTGAGAGAAATATTTTAATCTCATTGATCTACCCAGAAAAAAAAAAAAAAAACAGTGCTGATTGTTCTCATTTTGCAGCCTCCCCAAATAGGCAGGATTACAGGTGTGCACCACCGTGTATTGTTTAAATATGTTAAAAAAAAAACTCTAAAAATTATTTTAACATTATTTTCCTCTCCAGACAAGACAATGTTGGCAGAAAGGATTCCTGTTCCTTCTAGTCCTGTTCCCATAGCAACTATCGATTTGGTACAGCAACAGACAGAAGATATCATGCCACGCATTGAGCCCAGACTTCCACCCAAGAAAACCAAGCACCAGGAAGAACAGGAGGATGTGAACAAACCAGCCTGGGGTGTCAGCTCTTCTCCCTGGGTGACCTTTGTCTACGCACTTTACCAAGTTAAAGAGATGATGCAACTGACGAAAGACAGCCGCTCTTCTGAGATTCAGCCTTTGCAGGTAACCCTCTGCTGGGCTAGCTAGCACCTTCTCTGTTATGTGTCATTCATCAATACTTACTGGAAGCCTGGCACAAATAGCAGACATGCAAACAAATAATTTCAGTAGTCTCTGATAGCTCTGTTTCAGGTGTGTTTGCTAGGTTCCACAGAAGGAGGATTTGTCTTGTAGAGGTCAACAAGCTTCACAAAGGTGTTAATTCTTGAAAGAAGTAAATCAATCTATTCAAACTTTGCATACTTCTTTTATAGTTCAGTGAATAGAAAATCCCAGTTTTGGCAAAACTATTTGCCTTCAGAAACTGTATTTACTAATCTCTATAATTCCAGAATTCTAGTAGAAGTTTTACATATACCAGGGATGCAATAAATATCTGCTGAATTAACTCACTAGCAACGAGAGCCCTCATTTGGCTCTGTCTGGATACCAAACTTAAGCAACAGCAGTTTTGAAGGGCCTCACCTGAAAAATAAAATGTGTGATTTTACTTCTTCGTAAAGGAGTAATCTCTCCTGAGGAAATGAGTAATTACATAACTGATACACTGGTAAAATGAGTAATTACATAACTAAAGCTGTATCCTGACTTTGGAAAATGAATGTAACTTCTGTAAACAGTTTGGTCAAAGCAATAATCTACTTCTCCTTTTTTATATTAGTTTTTCCATTTTCTTGATAAGTCATGCAAGCTCTGTATTTAGAGTAGCTTAAAAGGATCAGAAGGAGAGTGAGTGAGGTAGCTCTGTAGGTAAAGGTGCTTGCTACCAAGACTGATAATCTGAATTCCTTTCCTGGGGCCTATGTGTCAAGAGAGAATCCATTCCTTCAAGTTGTTCCCTGACCTCCACACATGTACCACAGTATACACACACACACACACACACACACACACACACACACACACTTAATTTTTAAAAAATTATTTATTTTTATTTTATGTATAAGAGTGTCCTGCCTGCATGTATTTAAGCACACACATATTATGCAATACTTGCAGAGGCCAGAACCACATGGATCCCCTGAAGTTACAGCTGGTTGTTGGCCACCACATGGGTGCTGGTAACTGGACCCAGCTCCTCTGCAAGAAAATCCAGTACTCTTATTCTGGGGACAGTGGAGGCCTCTGTTATTTGCAGATTCTGTTCTTGGGAAGATTGCTTCTCTGGAATGGACCCCTCACCTCTCCTGAGAGCCAGCCTTGGTCCTCACTCCACACATGGTCCTGAGTTTGGACCTCTCCCATTGCCAGGCATCAAGATGTTTTCCGTTGTTTTTCTGTTACTCTTCTACAGCCCCAGTGTGCCTTCATCTATGCTCTAATTTAACTTCTGGATTTAGAAATCACTAAAAAAAAAAAAAAAAAAAAAAAAAAAAAAAAAGAAAAGAACTTAAAAATAAAAGGGTTGCAGAGATGGCTCATCAATTAAGAGTGCCTGATGCTCTTGTAGAGGGCCTAAGTTGAGTTCCCAGCACCCAAGGAAGGCAGCTCACAACCGTCTATAACTCCAGTTCCAGGGAATACAATGACCCCCAGAGACACCTATACTCGTGCGCATGCACACACACACACACACACACACACACACACACACACACAAATTAAATCTTTATAAAAGAAAAAGAAAATGTATAAATTACCTTAATTAATCTTGCCTATATAAACAGGAAAGTCTTTGCATATCTTTACCAAATCTGATATTTCACCGATAGCCACATGACTGCGAGTTGTGCAGAGCCCTCTGTACTTAGCAAGCTGATAAACCCACATGGCTCTCTGGCAGTCGGGAGCTAGTCTTTAGAGAGGGAGCAGCACCTGGAGGTTTTTATACCTTACAGCAGGAAAGTGAAACAGGAGAGAGGAGGACCCTGCTACCTGAAGCAAAACTTTTATTACTTTGTAGACTCATCCTTGTTTTCAGATACCTGGTAGCCCCTTGTTTTCAGATACCTGGTAGCCTACGCAGCATTAAAATTTTTGTGGTTTTCTTCTGGTATGAGTTAAGATTAGTAAGAACTAGCAGTTACAGGTATGGTGTGGCTATTCTTATGAAGGAATTATACTAAGGCCTGTTTTACATTTCAGAATCACAGAAATGAAAACTTAAAATCAACTATTGGAAATGGAAGTGGTAGGCACTAATCCAGGAGAAAAACATTTCTTAAAATCATGTTTCCTGGCTTGTAAAATCAATATGGCATTTTACAAAAATGTACTACAGTGTGTTTTTACAGTTCCCCCATTGGCTACACAAAGGTTTGCTTACAGTCCTTGCTCTGTCTTATTTAACTCTTTGTGACTATTTTGAAATTCCAAATATACATTTATGACTTGACACCACCAGATATTCTCACCTGGCTCTCTCGAGGCTGAGAGCCCCATTTACTCACTTCTGGGAAACATCTGCTCTGCCAGCTCTTAAATATTGTGGTGGTAGAAGTGCTGGCATTTCGGGTATCCCCAGCCCTTGCACAGTGACTTGCCACATGGCTGGGGTGCTCAGTAAATATTTGCTGATGTAAGTTGTTTACCTAGTAGTGACAGGAACTGTGGTAATAATGTTCCTTTGTCCATGAGCTATGCCTGCTTATAGTGTTTGTGTTTTTCATGCGGCTCTGGCAGTTGTACCTAGGAAAAGAGACGAAAGGTAAGACATTCTATCCTTATGCGTCTATCCCTTGGTCCCTGAACTGGGTTCTTCAAGATGATCTCCCCATGTGTGCTGTGTCTTACTTGATAAGATATGTTGGATTTATTTTCTTTCTCACACCATGGAACATCTGTGTTTTTCCTTCCAGGGGACCAGTGAGAATCGTGAAATTTCTCCAGCTGGTGGAACCCAGCTTGATCCATGTGAGACTCACTCTGATCCACCTAGAAACCAACCATCCCCTGACACAGCAGCATCTCAAACACAGTCCAGCCCTGCTCACCCCAGTGCTGCCCCACATGTGGAGGAGAGTGGGGAGCAGTGAGGGCTCCTGATCATCTCACACCCTGCATGGCACTGGGCACCTCAGCCAGGACACAGAAGGCGAGGCCCCCTACCCTGAACATGCCTTCCCACAGGAACACCGTACTGCACACGCTTCTAAATATCTAAATTCATTAATGTGGAAACAACATACATGTGAACTACATTACATGTTGGTGGGAAAAGAGAAACTGCCACAGTCCTTCTGGAGATGCAAAAGAAAATGGTATTGAGTGAAGACTTCCAGTTCTTGGTTGGTTAAGTGTCTGATCTCAGGACTTCTCTGCCAGGGCAGTAAGGGTGGAAACAAGCAGTTACACTAAGTAAGTGGAGGGAATGAAAGGGTCTCAAGTGAATATTGACATAATTTCCCTCTTCTGATTATTTATTCTAAATAGTGGGTTCTTAATGCAAACTGAGAAGAAACAGAATATATCTATAATTTTGTCTTCAAGAGAACCATTTTAAAAATGATAAGACCTATTTAAAAATGAACCAGATAAAAGTTAGTAGTACATATGCTTTTTGTTTTAAAAAGTTTCATCATAAGCTTTGCATATCTCTAACAAATATATTTTTATATGCATATGTTATATAAAGAAAATACTTCTTTGGGCAGCAAAAGCTGTTATTGACTACTGTGCGTGAACTTGAGCTTTAAAATGCCTTTGGTTTCAATGGGCTGTGAAAATAGGCAGAACTGAGAAAATATTTCAAAGCAACTAACCCAGTATCCTGAGACTTGATAGACAATAGTTTACTACTGTAAATGGCCTCTGTCACTTTATACTGATTTGGGCTCTGATTAGCTGATGGAATGAAACAGACAAAACGCTGATTTCCTAAGGGTTCCTTTAGTAAAGCAGTACTATTTATAAAGAACAGTATAAGATCTAAGTGCCTGAGGGAGGGACACAATTTTTGAAAATTACACAGTAGGTTGGTGGTTTGTGAAGTGGTAAATAGGAAGCCAAGAATGGGAATTATGGGAATAAGAAGTACTTTTTAATGACTGAAGAAACAAATCCTAGCATGTTCTTTCCCAAGAAACCGTAGTCAGACACTGGAACCTTCAGGCTTAGGGATGCAACTATACATATTACTACCATAGTCAGAGCAATGGCTAGGTGATTACACATACATCTTGCTGCTAGAAAAGAAAGCAGAGGTTGTAAGGAAATCTAGGGAGGCCTATGGAGAAGGGAATTCTGCTTTAGCTCAAAGAAAGTACAGATGGCACGGATGAGCAATCACAAGAGAGTAAGGAATGGTTAGAATCGGAAGCTCACCTTGGCCTCTGACCCTGAGTAGACAGGATCAGCTATAAAGGGACAGTTTCTCTTTGGCACAGTTCTGTTCAACCCTGCATCTGGAAGAAAAAAATTCCTCACTTAGATGTCTAGCTTCCCCACAAAACACAGCTTAAAATAACTGAAATAGAATGAAGCAAATAGTTATTTTTGCACTTGAACTGTACTGTACTGTCAATTATCATGACTCATTTTAAGTGACCTTTAAAATCAGATGTATTTATTATGCTTGTGTAATTGCAGAAGTGAAGAAGTGGGTGATAGGCTGAACCCCACCTATGAATGTACAGTATGTGAATTTGTGAAACTGACTAGAGGGAGTCAGAACCTTGTATCTTGTGTTTACAGTTCTGATATGTTTCTTTGAAAAGCCTGCTGTTTTGGAAATGCACAGAGGACATGTTGAAATAAAAAGTAAACATCATTTTTAAATATTTCTTAAATGAAAAATGTGACCAAACAAGTAAAAGTCCTTTGCTCTGTAATGAATGAGACCAAATTCAACATGCCTTTGTTATGAACTGTTTACTGTGAGCGTTGATTCAACAATGCAGTAATTTCCAGCCTTTTGAGCTGATACCTTCATGAGTTTGTGGACTTTGTGACTTTTTCTTCCTGTCCTCAAAGTGCCATATGCCACTTAAAAAAATATTAAAGTGAATTCGAATTAAACGTGATCTGAGAATTTTATAACCCCTGAGAACCCTGCAAATACTCAGGGGTATCACAAAGCCCAGGCTGGTAATCACTGCCTTAATGACTCCCTCCTGTTTCCCTTACAGTCAGTCCAGTCATAGAAACAGTAAATTACCCTAGAGTGCTGTGTGTGTTACTGGAAGAGGCTAGCTGCTAATTAAGTGACTATTCCTTAAAGCCGTAAGCAGAACAATGGTATGGGCAGTTCACCTGAAAACCCAAGGACTTCATAGGAATTCCTATTCTAGCAGTCCTGCTGTGGCCACAAAAAGCAGGCAGTTGGCTAAAACTTCCGGAAGACTTGCAGCTCTGATACTACTGAGGCATGGGCTACTCCTGGTACTGGGACCACTGCCTAAGCAACATGCCTCCCAGCCAATTGAGAATTAAGTAGATAATCTGCGAAAAGAGAACACCATCCGGGGTTACTGGGTGCTTGTTGTGTGCTAAGGTAATCATTTTTCCCTTAGAAAAACTCTACCTGGCACATGTCACTATCGCTGTTTTAAATATGAGGACCCTGAAGCTAACAAAGCTTAAGTTATGAGATCATGGTCAGAGTCAGGATTCAAACCCAAATCTTGCTAATGCCAAAGCCCTTGTCTACCTAGCACCTTCTCCATCCCTGGGGAAGGGGAAGGCACTCATTGCTTCTTTTTTGGCAAAGCAGTCCCCAAGACAGCCCAGCCCTTAGCCATATGAGTCTGATCCATGTGCTTGTGTTTCTACTTTGGATTTCTAGAAATTTTCAGAAACCTTCAAACTCAGCCATCTCCAGGCAATAGTCATGTAGCACAGCATTGTCCAATATAACCTACTGGGAAGGTGAATTCTCTATTCTGCTGTCTAGTGTGGCTGTCATGAGTTGCATGTGACTTTTAAATACTTGCAATATGCCTGGTGCCTCTGAAGAATTAGAGCTCTGATTTTACACAGCTGCCTGTGAAGCATAGCTTCCATACTGGACAGCACAGACACAGGGCAAGAGGTCCCTGTGGGAGGTCTCAGGGCCTGCACTTGCTCAACATCTGCAAGAGCATTTGGACCCTTAATTACATTATTCTGTGAAGATGAAGGTGTGCTTATGACAGAGATGATTATAAGAAAAATTACTTTCTATCCAGAAATTCAGCCTTTTGGTACACTGAGACAAGACACGAGCTACTTCTAAACCCTAAACCATACTTGCGCTGTTTCAGCAAAGCTGAAGTGAGTTCGAGACCAGCCTGGTCCACACAGCAAGTTCCAGACCAGCTGGGGCTACAGGGAGACCCTGTCTCAAAAAGACAAAAAAAAAAAATGTATTTTGTAGTCTTTTTAGTGAATCTTACACAAGTATTACTTGTAATGAACTAAGGGAAAACTCACCCATCACCTCTGAGCTTGAAAAGTACCAATTTGGAGCCAGACGTGGTGGTGCACACTTTTAATCCCAGCACTTGGGAGGCAGAGGCAGGGGGATCTCTGTGAGTTCAAGGCTAGCCTGGTCTACATAGTGAGTTCCAGGACAGCTGTGGCTACAGGGAGACCCTGTCTCAAAAAGGCCAAAAAAAAAAAAAAAAAAAAGATACAGTCACCACTCGAATGCATTGACCCTAGAGGCACATCCACTGAACTATACCCCAGCCCCCAGCCCTTAACACTTTTAAAAAGATGGCAGCAGACAAAGCAGAAAAGGCATGGGCCCTGAAGCACAAATGCTGGGGCTCAAATAGACCCTCTTACCTTTTGCGAGTCATCAGCTACAAAATGGAAATAATATAGCACAGAATGATGATGTTCAGATGAAGAGATGAAAGTGCCCAGCTCTGCACGGTGATTTCCAGTGTGGATCCTGTCCTTCCCATCACTACTTTTTAAAGACAGGGTCTCCCTGTAGCTTCAGCTGGCCTGGAACTCACTCTATAGACCAGTGATCAGTGGCCTTGATCTCACAGAAATCCCCCTGCCTCTGTCTCCCAGGTGCTGGACTAAAGGCGTGTACCACCATGCCCAGTTTGATCACTACTTTTGAAGAATGGACTAAATCTCTGAAATTACTTAAATAATAATAATAATAAATCAGCTATCCCAATGAATATATTTTCCAGGATTTGTGCTGGTAATTGTGCCTATCTCAAATCTTTGATGACCCCCTGAGGTATCACATCTAGAGATCATAGCAAAAACACACAAATTTATATAAAGAGACAACTTGACTCCTGAGTCAGAGAAAGACTGTAGATTTTTTAATATATCTGAGTAAAATATGCCTCCTGGAAGGAGGTGGGCTCCTGGGTTATCAACAAAAGACAGAAAACTACCAGCTGGCAGGGCTTGGATAAAGGAAGGAGTGGTCTTGCCAACAGGTTGGGTACATCATCCCCTCAGATGTGGGCATTTGACCCTGGCCCAATAGCATCAAACATGTCAACTATATAATAAACTTCCTTGCTTCTGTTTCTGATAACCAAGCAACCTTATCATTTGATCCCTTATAAACAAACATGTCTTCTGAGGGATAATCTGCTGGTTGTCAGTCTTGAGTGTTTTTATCCTTATGCCAGTTATATTTTGGCCCTTGATCACTAAATGAAGTGTGAACTGGCTAATGGGAGATGGGTCTTCTAGTGCAATAACAAAAATCCAGCTCGAGTGAAAGAGGCCCTCATCAGTGCAGTGCCACCCAGTGGGGAGTCTGGGAAGGCAGCTTGTTCCTGGGGTCACCTGAAGATACTTGGTTTACTGCAGGCTTCATCAAACCCCACCTCCACTCTGTTACCTATGCACAGGATCCTGCTTTCTTCAACTGGACAAAAAAGCTCATCTAAAAACTGCATATCTAATTCTGGGGAATGAGCCCATAGAAAATCACGTGATCCTATTGGAGTTTTCTTTTACATCATTTCAAGGTCTTAATTCATCCACATGTTCAGATATGCTGATGCAATTTATCAGCTATTCATGATTTTAAGTCATAAATTCAAATATTTTCACATGGACACTCCCCTACAATTCAGCCCTAAGTATTATTGGCAAATTAATTCACAAAGAATTTTTTTGTTATTGTAAAATGTGTCTCAAACTCCTTTAAAAATAACATTTGAATGACATAATTGTTTGAGCACGACCACCCACGCTGCTCCTCACCTACACATTTGGCATCAAACGGTCCAAGTTCTCGGTAACAGTGAGTGAGTGTGAAACACCTAGCATAAGCAAGAGCACAGCAAAGGGTTCTGCTGTGCTGCGCAAGTGCACGCCTATGAAGCTGTGAAACAAAGACAACTGTCACCCACCTGTGGAGTATGGCATGCTGCTGAATGGTCATTAAATGGTTTAAAGATCTTTAAAATTTTTTAAAATATTTTATTATTTTTATTTTATGTGCATGTATTTTATTTTATGTGCATGTATGTAAGTGCACCCATGTCATGCAGTGCCCAAGAGACCAGAAGAGGGTGTTCCAATTCCCTGGAACTGGAGTTACAGATAGTTGTGAGCGACCATGTGGGTGCTGGGCTACGAACTCGGGAGAACAGCAAGTGATCTTAACCACTGCGCCATCTCTCCAGCCCCCAGATCTTTATGAAGAGAAAGGGAAGAGGATGAGAGAAAAAGGGGAATGCCACAAGGTCAGAAGGGAAGAATCTGTACATTGCTGTTGAGGATCAGAACTGTGATGGGTGTTAACAAACCCGGAATCAGAGGAAAGCAATACAAACACAGAAAGAATTTCACCAGAATTGTTTTAATTGTTTAGCTTCTCACAGTTGTGACATAACAAACTGGCAGATCCATTGTTTCCTCTAAAAATAAGCAGAAAATATATCCTAGAAAACTCTCTGTGGCTGTTTTCATTGCGGTTCTACTGGCTTCCTGGCTACACAGCTGCTTTCTTTCAGCACAATCTCTGTTCACCTGGCTCAGGGGAGGCTGGAGGCCACTCTCCTGGTGGATCAGCTAGTGTTCGTGTGTTATTCACACACATACTTTATACTACAAACTGCTTACTGACAGGTGAGCTTGCTGAGCACAGCACTGACACCTCCAACATATTATAATGCATCACCAATAAATAATATTACAAAAACTGAGACCCAGATTAAACTGTAACAAGATGTGAGAACCCCTGTTTATACCTGAAAAAGTTATTGACATCAAACTGAATGGAAGCACATTCTTTGACTTTTTAAGATCAGTCTATGTAAAGGCACAGATTGAGCTGCGTAAAGTTTCTAAAGAAAAGAAAAGGCTCCTAATGTTAAAGATATCTGACAAAAGCAGATCTGTAAACACTGACATGTTACTTCAAAGAGGAAGCAACATTGACGGTCAATCAACATTCCAAACCGTCACTCTCAGGAAAGTGACAGTGACGAACTATATATTCCTGCCTCATTGCACTTATATTGATAAAAGAGGATTTCCCATTTTTTACATCAGTGACAAAAAGCACCTGCATTTGACCTGTCTTTGGTTCCTTTCCTCAGGGTAGACACAAAGTTAGTGGCTCATTTCACTCTGGAGTGTATCAATACTCAAGAAGCAGATATGCTCTCTATAAAAAATAGCACAAGTTGATTTTGTAAACATATAGTCAATTTAAAAAATTAACTTTAAAATGTCACAAAAGGTTGTATGCCTTCAATTTCAATATATAAAAAGTACACAAAGTCATTCTAGTTTTTAAACTTCATGTATATATGTATAAATCTTATCAAAACTTTATGATCTGAAGAAATGTTTCTTCTAATCACATTTATTAAATAGCTAGTTGGCCATTATTTTAAAAATTAAAAAGTATCAATACTGTCAGACTGAGGCTGTGGGGAGAAGACCCTGGGCCTGCCCCAGGAGAAGTGTCTTATACCTGAGTATCAGGACACGGCAGGGCTGGACTGCAGTCAAAGTTGCTGCAAGCAGTTCTGTGCTCTTGGGCAAGATGTGTAATGCCTTCTCCCCAAACTTAAATTACATCATCACTAGCATTTTCCAAACATGCATTCTAAGGATTATTAATCTCATGAAAAAGAACCTGTGGTCAAATTAAGAACCTTGCACATGATGTCTGCCTCTTCAGAGATCCACAATGCTTCAGTCTCCCTAAAGGCTCTGAGAAACCCACAGTGTATTTAACTTTCAGTCAAATGCAGTTGACATCAGGATTCCTTTCCTAGCATTTAGTATCCTGTGGACTATACTGTAGAAAACACTGGTTCAGGATATCTCAGTGTTCTCCCTGCACTGATATCAGTGAAATGGAGGAAAATAATGCAGGTTCAGAATGACCCAGGCTCAGGGAATTATGGGAGGAATTCGTGCCTGATGCTGAGCAGGCATCTGTCCATGCTTCTGGTCCCACAAAGCATGTTTCCCTTGTTCGAATGAAGGTCTTCATTCAAGGAAAGTGGCACTGGTTCTCACAGAATCTTCATGCCCACTTACAGTACAGTAAGTAGCAGAACCTGCCAAGAGTAAGTTCCCTTCAACCCAGTTTAGTTTCCTTTCTAGTATGGCTCATTTCTTCTCCTCAGGGCATGCGAATCCATTGTTCCTCAGAAATGCTCTGTCCAGCCATATTGCATCATTTACTCACTTTCTTGAGTCCAGAGAAGTCAACTTGCTGGTAGACTATCAGTCTGTAGGCTAAAGAGCTGCTCTTCCAGGAAGGCTCCCCCAAGGCCATACTGTTTTTCATGTGTACTGATTTCTTCAGGTGACAAATGATTATCTCCAAGAACAAAGTCTGCAAATCTAATGTTTTTATTTTAAATAAAGTTAATGATATCACAGAAAGGTTTATTTGGAAGATTGTGTGCCCTTGTACTTGTCCCCTCTACTTAAAGTTGACTTTGTATCAACAGAGGATGGCATTTGCATTGGGTACAGAGATCAGCCTATGTGATCCTACAACTGCTATGCAGTTGTGGAAAGTAGGCAGATTTATGCAGCCCCAGTTTAGCCGGATGCTCCCGCTCCTGTTTACTCATCTCATCTCTGCCTTTTGAAGTGCAGACCTGCTACTTACTATTTTAGTGTCAGTGCCTCCTACAGGTCAATATGACACATCAGATAAATATTAACTTAGCTATTACCGGTATTGCTACAAAGTCAGAGTACTGAGGAAAAAGAGCTCTACCAAATGGTAAAATGTGTGATCTGGGGAAGTCCTTTGTCTCTAAGCAGAATTGCCCGTTCCAAAATACTGTATTATTTTCAAGTCATCTAGAACATGAGCTATGGACAGAGCAGGACTTACTTTTTAGGAGCCTGGAGTCTAGAGACAGCCAACCAGGAAGGGAAGTCGGGCCTACGGCAGGCACTGCGCAGTTCCTCCAGAGCGCTGGCTGTTTCGGCCTCAGCTTGTTCCCTGTACTCGTCGTCAGTGAGATACTTTACCAAAAGTGGTTCTGATGTAAACCATGGCTTCATTTTCCTAAAACACATGGTGTTTGGTTGCCAGATTTCTGCCCAATTCAATCCTTAGGATTTACAAAAATCCACCTTAGACATCAACAGTGATACCTCTTAAACCCATGTACATCACACCTCTACTTTCTGTTGTCGCTCTATGACAGGTACAGGGAATGGGCACTCTGGCCCCAATGTGCTTCCCTGCTTCCTGACCATCAGAGATGCCTCAAGGTTTTGAAAATCAATTTCTGACTGAGATGTTAAGTAACTTTTTCTTCCTCAGTGACTCCTAATCACACAATTAAACAACAGTCTGGCTTCCTTACCCTTGGCCTGCTGATTTTCTTGGGCACAAACAAAAGCCTCTGCCACACATCCTTTTATGGAAACCAAGTAGGACACACAACACTCGCTGCCAAGAAACTGGATTTGTGGGATTTTACTTCCACCTAGTGGCAGTGTGTCTGACTAACCCTAGAGAGCCGGTAAGGTAACAGTTGCACAAAAGGCCTTCTAGTACAAGAATTTATATTGGCTCTTTTGCTACTACATACTAAGAGGCTCATGACTGGAATTTTCTTTTTCCAGTCATAAAAATTATAAATCTCATAACATAATGGACTGAATAACCCTTCAGTCATTTATGATACATTTTCCCAATTCCTATCTTGTGAGCACTATTAACAGCACTGAAACAATACCATCTTTAGCTCTAATGAAAGGAAATGTATGCTATAGTAGAAAGCTTGGGTAACCCAGAGTCCAAATAATTTTGCCACTGATTTTAGTAAATTCTGAGTGAGCTCTAATTATCCAGCCATTGGTAATGTACTCTTAAAGGGTTAATTAAAAAGGTAAATTAATGAAGGTGGGATCAAATGCTTACAGTTCTTTTTCTTCCCCTTCTTATAGAGTAAAACCTTCAGATTAAATGTAATTACTTATAAGATTAAATATAATGCACCCAAAAATATCTCTCAAGACAATAAATAAAACCAGAGCTCAAAATGTCAAATTTACTAGGAGTGAAAAAGATACACACCACGTCATATAGCTGAATGCTCTCAGTGGATAGCGCAGACTCCAGGAAGACACGAGGAGGATCATAATGGCATATGCAAGCTGAGGCACCGCCACACCAGCGTAGACCAGAATCAGGGAGAGGAACCGCAGTGCCCACAGCAGAAGACTTCTGCTCCTCTCATCAGTAAGAGGCCCATGTTTGTAACAGGCAGCAAAACTAAAACTTCCAACCAACAAAACATAGCCTGGAAAAACAGAAAAAGGTACAAGAATTTAAATCTGAACTCGAAAAATGATGTGGAGAACCTAGTAGAGCCTTGACTGAAAAATATTTATCAGAAAACCATAATTTTTAAAATTTTCTTTTCCTAAAGACAGCTGAAGAAAAAAGCATATACAGCTAGTTAGTCCTGCACATGAGCGCATAGACTGACTTAAAGGTATTTTTCATTATTATTTGTGTATGTGTGTGTGTGTGGGTGTGGGTGTGTGTTTATGTATGTGCGCACACGCATGCATGCATTTGGGTATCCACAAAGGCCAGAAGAGGGCATCAGATTCCCTGGAGCTGGAGTTACAGGCAGTTGTGAGCCAACCAATGTAGGTAAACTAAACTCTGGTCCTCTGGAGAGTAGCAAGCACTCTTAATCTCTTAATCCTCAAGCAACCTCTAGCCCCATATCTGATTTTAGGATGTATACTGATACTTAGGATGACATATAGTCATTTCCACTTTTTAGTCCAGTGTCCTGGGTAGACAAATGGTTTCATGGTTGCTTTGATCAGAAATAAGTCAGTGAATATCGCCCTCTGCTATAAACCCTATTTACAATTTTAATATTCTAGTCACAAAAGGAGAACATTATTTTAATTCTTTTGATTTATTTATTTTTTTATTTTATGTGCATGAGTGTTATGCCTGCATGTGTATAAATGCACCCATGTCGTGCAGTGTCCATGAGGAACAGAAGAGGGCATTGGATCTCCAGGAACTGGAGTTACAGACGGTTGTTACCCAACATGTGAGTCCTGGAATTTGAGTCCAGGTCTTCTGCAAGAAGCCAGTGCTCTTAACCACTAAGCCATTCCTCCAGCCCGAGAATGTCATTTTAAAGAGGAGGGATCAGGTAGTCACCCCTCTAGTGCCATGCTCAGTCTATCATTACTAATGTTGTGACTGTAGGGTACTGTTTCCAGTGTGATCAGATGGGAGTGCACTCTGTACATATTCCACCAGAAGTATTTAATTTGTTTCACAGCAAACGTGAGAACTAATGTCTTGTTTATAGGAAATATGGAGGAGAGTGAAACAAGTTAAATTATGCCACAAAGTGGGGGTACCCCATAAATCCAGAAGCGCAACTTTTACAGGCTAACTCACTTGGCTTCTTCAGCATACCACTATGATGAAAATAGGAACTGCTATGGACTGAGAGAGATTCACCAAGCGTAACAGATGCAACATGAGGTCTGGACATCCTCTAGTTTATACAAACCAGACATCAAGGATGACTGGGAAATTTTAACATCACTTGGTAACAGATGATTCTATGCCATTATTTTCTAAATTTGCTATAGTGAGGCTGCAGGTATAATTCAGTGGTCGACCACATAGCATGCTTGAGGCCCTGGGTTCAATCCCTGCCAACAAAAGCTAAACAGGTATTTGATTATGCAGAAAAAAATGCTTTCTTGAGACAAGTAGTAAAGAATTTAGGGGAGTATGCCATGTTATTAGTAGTTTACAAATACTTTAACATAATAGGGGAAAACAGCTAAAAATAAAATTTGCACGAATTGCTTTGTTTTCGAAGTGCTAGTCTTATATAAGAAATTTGATGCTAACGGGTCTCCAATTCCCAAATTTCCTAACAAAAAGTGAGAGTTTTTGTAACATAAATCAGGAAAATATACGGTATTTTTAGCCTCTCTGTTTCTGAAAAGTCAAATTTTCATTAGTTATTTACAATTTCCCACCCTTTATACAGAATACATTAAAAGAAAATAGTCACATTTTAAAGAAGCCTTTATATTACAGGTGAGATGTCATTAGAGCTCAGCCACAATTCAGAAGCGTATGCACAAAAAATGGGACAGGAACTGCTTTTTACTCTTTTGATCATTAGTAGAGAAAACTAGGAAAGGTGATATAGAGAAATTGCTGAAAATGAGATCTAAATGAACCGAAATCAGAAACTACGGAATAAAATATCATTTTAATAGCACTGCTCCTTAGTTCGAAGTAAAAATTTATATGAAAAGAAACAGGTAAAAAGAAGCCCTCTACTTGTCCTTTCAATTCCACCAATGACAGAATGTGCTTTTTCATGTTTACCTACCTAATATATATATTCTGTTTCCATACCACAGCCACTTCAGATCTTCCATCAACTGGCATACAACATAAACTGAAGCAAACCAACAACCAACCATTAGCGCCCCAAAGGTGCTATACTGTGTGTGGAAGAAAATAAAGGACACTTTTGGTTCATTCGCTCTCATAAAAACAGAAGCAAACAAATAAACCCTCTGTGTTAGAAACTTCTAGGTTAATAAAGTCAAGTACTTATATAATATTCTGACTCTCACTGTTCAAGGCGTGGTCCTCAAAACAGGAGCATTATCTCTATATAAAGAACTTAAAGGAAATGTAGACTCTGGTCTCACTGTTCAACCAAAATCTGCATTTTTATTTTTTTTATTATATGTGTATGAGCATATTGCCTGCATGTATGTAAGTGCATGTGTGTCATGCAATGCCTACAGAGGTCAGAAGAGGGTGTTGGATCTCCTGGAACTGGAGTTATGGATAGTTGTTAGCCACCATAAGGGTGCTGGGAATCAAACCCAGGTCTCTGCAAGAGCAGTCAGTAATCTTAACTACTAAGCCATCTCTCTAGCCCCCACACCACAATCTGCATTTTAAGAAGCTCAGGTGGCTAGGATATACATTACAGTTGGAGAAGCACTATAAAAGATATAAAGTTATCTCAAAGTAATGCTGGTATTTAGAGCTTTAATTGGAGTAACTATAAAATTACCATCATGAATTAATACTTATTTATACTTATTTAACCATTGGGGCACTATTTTATTAAAGGTATACTGGAGAAGAAAAAACAAAACAAAACAAAACAAAACAAAAACTAGATGTAGCAGTACTATTATTTAAGGCCCCCAAAACTCGGAATCATTCTGCCAAGATAAATTTTCACTCCATACAGAATCAGGCTCATCACTCAAAAAAAAAAAAAAAAAAAAAAAAAAAAAAACAATGACACTATCTGGAAAAGAAAAGGGTCCCAAAAATATCACCAAACTTAATACCTAAGTGTGCTGGGTAGCTTTAGTGTCAACTTGACACACCTGGGTTGAAGGAGCCTCAACTGGGGAATTTCCTCTATTGGACTGGCCTATGGCCATGAATGAGGGACATCTTCTTGATGAGTGATGTGGGAGGGCCCAGCCTACTGTGGGTGGTGCCACCCCTGAGCAGATGGGCCTGTGTTGCATAAGAAAGCAGGCTGAGCAGGAGCCAGGGAAACAAGCCAGTAAGCAGCATTCCTCCATGGCTTGTGCTCCAGCTCCTACCTCCAGGTTCCTGCCCTGAGTTCCTACCTTGGGGTCCCTGATGAACTGTGACCTGGGAGATTTAAGCTAAATAAACCCTTTCCTCCCCAAGTTGGTAGTGGTCAGGGTGTTTTGTCACAGCAATGAAGAAACAAACCAGAACACTAAGATAATCCTACATATTATAAATAAAAACGGACTTTTCAGAAATAGAACATTGTAAAGTCAATTTATACAGCATAGGAACGTAGTTTGAATTAGGAAGTATCATAATAATTTTTTTCACTTTTTTCTATCTCTAAAACCTTGGTTTCTGTATTTTATTCATTTACATCCAATATACTTACCTTTGGTATGTATCTTTTAACCATCAGAAGGACAAAGACTAATGTCATCAGAACACCTAACATGGTCCCCAAAGAGTAATAAAAAACAGGGCTTCTGTCAAGACAGAGAAAAGTCCTTTAAATACTAAGCACCACTCTCAGAAAAGTATGCTTATTGTGGCAACAGTAGCCAATAAGGAATATCAAGAAAGAAAGAGGGAAACTCTAATTACATTCTATATATTTAAAATTGAAAATTGGTACTTGAAAATCTAGGTAAATGGCTTGCTAGTAACAAAACAGAATGTCTGAGTTATTGTCTATATTCTGAATGTGATCCAACAATAACTGATACCTGTCACTGGTACAATAATGGCATGAATGTCATGGAGGTAACCAACCACTTTCTGATTTCTATTTAAGGCCTGCTCCACAAGCTGAACTCATACCTAACACCATTACTGGAGCCAAGAACCTGTGCTTAGACAGGTCACAGGCCCTTGAGAGATCCTAAAACTATTATTCTGCTAAACGAACACAGTATTATAACAACTCCTAATGACTCATTGCTATATCCATAGATTAGTGCATCTCTCAACCCTCATTAGAAAAGCTTCTTTTGGTAGTAGATGGAGATTAACATAGTATCCACAACTGGTGAAGGTGCAGAGAACAAGAAACTGTGGAATGCTTAGCCCTAAATGGGACACTTATATCACATCCTCTCCTCTCAAGGTTCAGGAATCATTGCAGAAGAAGGAAGGGAAAGATTGTAAAACCCAGAGGCAGTGGATAACAAGGAAATGGTGTTTTTTGGACACAGCAGGGCAGGTCCACATATACATTCACAGTGGTTGTGACAGCATGCATAAGACCTGTGTCAGTCAAGCCAGACATAATCCCAGCATTGGGGGGAGGGGTAGAAATGATGTCCCACCCCTAGCTGAGGCATTATTGGCAACAGATAGCTATGAAGAGTGTAGTGTGGTCTCTGGTAGGTCAACCATGCCCCAGTGGATGGCCACACACCCAAGAGTACAAATTGGACTAGATGGTTTAAAAAAAAAAAAAGATGTAAAGTTGGGTGAGTAGGGAAACGGAGTGAACCTGGGAAGAGTTGGGGGAGGAGGGGCAATATGATCAAAATACAATGTATGAAATTCTCAAAGAATTAAAAAACAAAATCCTGGAGAGCTGACTCAACGGTCAAGAGCACTGACTGCTCTTGCAGAGAACCTGAGTTCGATTCCCAGAACCCACATGGTGGCTAACAACTGTCCTTAACTCCAGTTCCAGGGGATCCAACTCCCTCTTCTTACCTCCACAGACATTGCACAACATAGGTGCACCTATCTACACACAGACAATACACTCACACACATAGAATAAAAACAATAAATAAAATGCTTAAAAAATGACAAAAAGATGACTCAAACATTACCTTCAGACCTGCGCAAAACCTAACCGGGAAATACAAACACACAATGGTGTGTAAATATTTAGCTTAGGGTCTGAAACAACCTATACCCTTTTAGAATCACAAAGCTAAAACTATAAAAGTGAATACTTACTGACTCAAGGTCTTTGCATAAAAGAAAAGGAAAATGCCTCCCACAAACACAAGGAAGAGTCTGAAATCCACAACTGGAAAAAAAAAGACACAGATACAACCAATGTTTCAGTTCAGGTCAGCTGGGACTGCAGGGAGACCCTGTCTCAAAAAGATCAATATATGTATATATATATATATATATAATTGCAGAAAGAACAGACAAGTTAGCCTACTGAAAGTCACTCCAGAAGAGCAGAATCCATAGTCAAGTGTAATACAGACTTACTGTTTCGATTCACGCTTACTGTGTAAGTAAATATCTTCTTGACAGGCTTCACAGAGAAGCATACAGTTTCTCCATAAGGACTGAAGACTATGGTTACTTCATTAGACTCCTTTGGTGCCCAAAAGTTATGAATCACACATTTGATAAATGATAGAATGCTTTCTGGATACTGGCAACTATGACTTCCAGTGATGTATACAATACTGAGCAGGCCTGGACTGGAAACATTCACCTACAAAACAAGAACAAATCAGTTCATAGACAGAAGCAAAAATATATCCTACGCTTCTTAAAAACATGAGCTGAGAAGTCAAGAGAACCCAAGATTGGCTGAGGAAGAACATGTAGGTGCACAGGGTTAGGTTCTGGTCCCAGGGTGGATGGAACTTTACACAGTTGCTACAACTATGTCCAAATGTGCACTGGGCCACAGATACTTTTGAACGTGGATATTTTACTGGGTATGGTGGTAGTCTACATGTGTAAGCCCAGCACTTGGGAATCTGGGCTAAGAGGATCACAAGTCTGATGCCAGCCTTGCCTACACAATGAGACCCTGTCTCAAAAAAAAATCTACTTAAAAAAGAATAAAAAAAAAGGGCAAGATGGCTCAGCAGGTAAAGTGCTTGTTGCCAACCCTGACAATCTGAGTCCAATCCCCAGGACCTGCAGGGTGAAAGGAGAGGACTGATTCCCACAAATCATCCTTTGACCTTAATAGGAGTAACATGGCAGTTGTTTATGACATACACATACACTAAATAAATATACTTTTTTTAAAGAACATGTTTCTTCCCTAGGCTGTAGTTGTCTTAACTCCTTCTATCAAGTCATTGTGGCCAAAAATATATTTAAAAAGTTGAGACAGAAAGTAACAGCTGGCAAAGTATCTGATTATAAATAAAATGACACTTGGGTCTGTATTGCCCTTCTTTTCTATTGTGGTTGAGAGCAAGTGTTCCTTCCTCTGGATCAGCTGAGCAGATGTAATTCTAGTGTCTCTTTCCCTCCAACTGAAGGACCAGAACCCAACCTCAGACCTCAAGACACACAACAAAGCATTACCTACAAACAGATGGTGACAATCAGGTGACATCACTTACTATCCTCCAACCCCCTCATTTCTTTGATTTGGCTCCTGGCTCACGACAGTGTTCTTTCTCCACAAACTTTCCTGTCATTCTTCTTGGGGATTTCAATCTATTTTTTAAAAAATCAAGTCTCCTGGTCTTCCAGTTCCTAGAACTCTCGTCATGAACTCCCGTCCCTCATTACCATAGCTAATAACTCTCACGGTCATATCCTAGACCTGTCAGTGTAAGTTCATGCATCCCATTTATTGATCACCACCTGCTATCTACTTGTCCATCACACCCACCCCTAACAACTGACCCCACACAAATCTGAGCATCTTCTGCAAGAACGGTCAGTGTTCTTAACTGCTGAGCCATCTCTCCAGTCCCATAGTTGACACTTTTTACCCAGTCAAATTTCATTATCAGTCATAAGCCATTCCTTTGAACTATTTTGCCTTCTTTGCATCCCTCCTTTGTCATGCTCACCTACAAAATCCAGCTCTAACCTATCTTCTCCTACATTTGTTCCACCAGATATGCCTCATAAATGCAAAGTGGCCTCAAATCCATGGCAGTGAACCTGAAGTGAGGGGAAGCTGCAGCCACTCATACACACATCCCTAGTCATTCACCATTCCACGCTCTTCAACAAATGAGCTCATAACTTCTATGACACTTCAACACCTCTCCCTATTCTTACTCTTGGCTGATGAGCCTTCTACTTACTAAACATGAAAAAAAAAATCAGAAGTGAATATGGACCAGCTCCTATATCTGTATCTATCCACCTGTCAGCATCTGCAGGCACATGCTCTGTTCCCTGGCTGTGGGGAAGTAGCATCTGCCAGGGAGGAACTTTGTATGCTCTAAGCCTGACTTGTGCACTGGATCCTATCTACCCTTGCCTATACAGGTTCATCCCTCCAGCACATCTTCCCCACTAGATGATCCCTATGAACACACAACAGTGGCATTTTTCCCATTAAAAAAAAAAATCTTCTATGGACCTAACTTCTTACTCCAGCTGTTCCCCATTTCTTTGTTTTTCACTACAATAAAAGCCCTTTCAAAAGTTGCTGGTATCTGTGTTCTGCTCCTCACCTCCCCATTCCCTCTATAAACACCAATCAGGCTTGTACTAAAAAAGGTAGTCCTGACAAGGTCTCCAGTACCACCACCATGTTGCTACCTACATGGCCAGTTCATTCTCAGTCATTTTATCTGGCCCATAAACAGCACGTGGGGTTATCCTGGAAAAAAATGTAACAGGGAATAGCAGTGGTGTAACTTTGATGGGGGAGGGACCGATGGGAGGTCTTTAGATCATTGTAACAGCAGCCCTTGGATGAGTTAAGGAGCTTCGTAGAAACCCTGAGCTCTCTCTCCAGACCAAGTTTTTTGGTTTTTTTTAAATATTTTATTATTTTTATTTTATGTGTATGAGTATATTGCCTGCATGTATGTGAGTGCACTCGTATTGTGCAATGCCGTGGAGGTCAGAAGAAGGGTTTGGATTCCCCTGGAACTAGAGTTAAGGACAGTTCATAGCCGTCATGTGGGTGCTGGGAATTGAACCTGGGTCCTCTGCAAGAGCAGTCAGTGCTCTTAACCACTGAGTCATCTCGCCAGCCCCCAGATCAAATTTTCTAAGACTAATGCCTACGTCACTCATGGCCTCTTGTTTGTTTTGGGATGTGATCTCTCCCTTCTACTCCTGCTCCTGGCACTGCCGCCCATCATGAGGCAAGACCCTGAGTCATGCTTGGATTTGTCTCCAAACCTGTGAGTGATGTAAACTTTTCTTTATGAAGCTAGTCTGCCTCTGTTATTTCATCACAGTAATGAAAAGCACAGACCTCGTCTCTTCTCCATTTAAACTCACTTCCATGCTTCTGCAAAAACACAGCAATGATGCCAGGAAAAAAAAAAAAAAAAGACTAATTACAAGGAAAGAACAAAACAATGAGGGGGATCAGACTTCTCTAGGAATACTTCTGTGGAGAGGTTTTTTTGTGTGTGTGCTGTATACATCAAAAAATAAACATGGAACAACTATATTTTGAATGAATAATATACCCATACTAAAGGGGGTGAGGGTGGGAATGAATTAATCAAACTAACTTTTGAGTACAACATTTAACTGCATATTCTTGAATGACATTTACAATACGATAAACAGGGCTGGAAAGATGCCTCAGAGGTTAAGAGTGCTCACTGCTCTTCTAAAGGACCCAAGTTCAGTTCCTAGAACCCATGCTGGGTACCTCACAACCTCCTGTAATTCTAGTTCCAGGGGACCCAATGACCCTCTTCTGGCCCTCTGGACCTCATATGGTCACACTCACACACACACACACACACACACACACACACACACACACACACACACAAATAAATGTTACAAAAACAACAACACTCTAGGGCTGGAGATATGGCTCAGTGGTTAAGAGCACCATTTACTCTTGCTCTTGCAGAGGACCTCAGTTCAGTTCCCAGCACCCACATGATAACCCTAAGTAACTCCAGTTCCAGAGAATCCAATGCCCTCTTCTGGCCTCCATGGACATTGTATACATGAATGCACTTAAATTTGGGTAAACCACTCACACACATAAAATTAATTGATTATTTAAAAATAAATATAAATAAAAGTTAAAATTTCTTTAAAAGTTAAAAAAACGTTCCCAGCACCCACATGATAACCCTAAGTAACTCCAGTTCCAGAGAATCCAATGCCCTCTTCTGGCCTCCATGGGCATTGTATACATGAATGCACTTAAATTTGGGTAAACCACCCACACACATAAAATTAATTGATTATTTAAAAATAAATATAAATAAAAGTTAAAATTTCTTTAAAAGTTAAAAAAACTGCCAGGCATGGTGGCAC